AGGCGGGTGAAACTCAGTCTCTACTAAAAATACAAAAATTTATCCGGGCTTCGTGGCAGGCGCCTGTAATCCCATCTACTCGGGAGGGTGAGGCAGGAGAATTGCTTGAACCTGGGAGGTGGAGGTTGCTGTGAGCCAAGATCGTGCCACTGCACTCCAGCCTGGGCAACAGAGTGAAACTCCGATCTGAGGTTGAAAAAAAAAGAGAAAAGAAAAGGAAAGCATTTTCTTACTTCTGAGTATAACCAACAGCTAAAAATTTGTAGATTATTTTCTACTTTCTGCTTTTCACAAATACGTAATACATTTGTAATACCACTTTGTATGAAACATGCTGACCCTGAAGGAGAATCTAATACCAGCTCTAACATTATTAGTGAGATTCTGGACAAATCACACAAATCCTACACCAACTTTTGCTTTTACTGAAAGGAGTGAATGCATATCAGATAGATTAAAACCCATTTCATTGCTAATTTCTGCATGTTCTGGTTCTGTTGGAGAAAATACAAAGATATTCCGATTTTCATGATTTGTTTATCATAGCAATCAGCTTCAGTCCAATTATAATATCCGAGTTCAGATTTCATTGCTCCTAAGCAAATGAGCCGGCACTCTACTTGATATTTGTTTTCCTGTATGGAGACCTTATGAGTGTTCTTGGATTTTGTCAAATCCTGAATTCTCTCAGGCTCTTAAGCAATGATTGGTGGTTTTTTTTTTGGTTTTTTTGTTTTTTTTTTTCCCAGAAGGAGTCTCGCTCTGTCGCCCAAGCTGGAGTGCAGTGGTCTGATCTCGGTTCACTGCGACCTCCACCTCCCAGGTTCAAGGGATTCTCATGCCTCAGACTCCTGTGTAGCTGGGAATACAGGTGTGTGCCACCATGCCCGACTAATTTTTGTGTTTCTAGTAGAGACGGGGTTTCACCATGTTGGCCAGGCTGGGCTCGAACTCCTGATCTCAAGTGATCCACCGGCCTCAGCCTCCCAAAGTGCTGGGATTATAGGTGTGAGTCACCTCCCTTGCCGGACCCAATGATTGCATTTTAAAGTCTTCCCGCAGTGAGGCCTTGAATGACTGAATAATAAAATGGAAAGAGACAGTCAAAGTTTTGTGGCCCATGAAGTAGGGAGCCTGCATGTAGGTCAGTGATGCTCCAGGTGGTTGGAAGATGCCTGTGCTAAGCATGCTCCCTGCCCTCCTGTCAGTCTTCATGAGCTACTGTGTGTAATTAGATTGAAGACACATACGGTAACCTCTAACCATATCAGAGGTTATATATTACAGGTTTCTGCCTTGAGTCATCAGATGTTACGACTTAAAGTTCAAAAATTATAACATACTAAGTCCTGAGTAGTCCACATAAGTATCTTTCACACATATTTTCCAAATTGCTGACTTAATTAGAAGAATTTCTGAATTTAAAGGAAGCACTGCATGTTTAGGGGAGAAATTACCTAAATGTTTTTACTCCACACTTCTGAACCACTCCATTAGGCTATCAACATTAAAAGATTGTTTTCAGACAATTTCCAGGAGCCTATTGAACAAGCCTCAATTGTATTCTTAGGACAGTCACAGCATTAAATGTATATCTTATTAAAATAGATAGCAAATTCCATGATACAAGAAAATAACATTAAGAAAGAGCAAAAGAATAAAAGAGTCACAGAATAAACTTAAGGGAAAAAGGGAAAAAGAAACAGGCAGTAAATGAAAGGTACAAATCATTAACCAAAGGAAAACTAATTTGATATTAATAAATTTAATAGAATGTTCTTTTGAGAAATAGCTAGGAAGAGCCTCCAGTAGATGTAACAATCTTGAAGAAAATGGAAAAGGCACAACACAGAATATGAACAAGACACAGATATTGAATGTAGGGCATAATTGAAAGGGAATACGTTCTTGAACACTGATGTTTTCAGAGTGTGGATGATATGGTTGATATGCTAGGAATGCCTACATTGTTTAATATATCCCCGAAATACCTGTTATGGCCCACAGGAATGGCAGCGGGAAGTTCAAATTTGGCAAGAAATTCAAGCCTGCTCTTTGAGGCTGGAGTGAGGCCACTCAGGAATCACTGAAGTCCAGGTCTGCATGTGATGGTTAATATTAAGTGTCAACTTGATTGGATCGAAGGATGCAAAGTATTGTTCCTGGGTGTGTCTGAGAGTGTGTTGTCAAAGGAGATTAACATTTGAGTCAGTGGACTGGGAGAGGTAGAACCACCCTCAGTCTGGGTGGGCACCATCTAATCAATTGCCAGTGCCACTAGAATAAATCAGGCAGTAGAACATGGAAAACTAGACTTGCTGAGTCTTCTGGCCTCCAACTATCTCCGGTGCTGCATGCCTCCTGCCCTCGAACAACAGACTCCAGGTTCTTCAGCTTTTGGACTCTTGAACCACACCAGGATCTGCCAGGGGCTCTCGGGCCTTTGGCCACAGACTAAAGGCTGCAATGTTGGCTTCAATACTTTTGAGGTTTTGGAACTCGGACTGCCTTCCTTGCTCCTCAGCTTGCCGATGGCCTATTGTGGGACTTCACCTTGTCACCGTGTGAGTCAATACTCCTTAATAAACCCTACTTCATATATGCATCTATCCTATTAGTTCTGTCCTTCTACAGATCCCTAACTAGTACAACGTGAAACACTACCAACAGCCATAGTTGCTCACAAAAAGTCTGAGTCCAGAAATCACTATCTCCCATTCTTTGAGCACTTGCGAGTGCACTATATTAAAAACTGGACTTAGTAAGGAAAAAAAGAAAGTAAAATTTAATAATAATAGTGTCCATGCCAAGAAAGGATAAAAAGTATAAAAGGTAAATTAAATAAGAGATCATGATTATAACTGCTCTCGTTTTTTAAAAAAATATTTAAAACACCACGATTCCTACTCAAGTTGCTTTTGAGAGAGAGACAGAGAGAGATTGAGCCACCTTTCTTTTCCAACTCAAGGTATTGCCCTAAAAGAAGGCCAGCTGCATGATATATATAGGCGTCATTTCAGCAATATATCTTATTTATAAAAGGCTGCATTCTGGTCAGGGCCCCGTTCCTATCCTTCCCTTCCATATAATATTTCCCACATTAAACTGCCAAAGAATACATGAGTAATAAGAACAGGAATCATGCGCACAGCTTACTGTCTACATTAACGAGAGCTTATACCCCACTGGCTTCATCAACATAACTTTACTAATACAGCAATCTGTTGCCTAGGAAAATAAAAGATGCAAAGAACTTTACTGTTCATTTCAGCAACTGCCTGAAAGATTCATCAACTCTTCAGTCAAAAGTGTCAAATGACATTTTTCAATCCCAAAACTCATTGAACCGTTGCCTAAACATTTTTGTCTTCTTGGCTCCACCAATCCTACATCATTATGATTCCTACCTAACTCTAACCAAACAATCCCCCACTTTAAAAGACCCACTTTACACTAGATTTCAAAATCAGAATAAATATACTGAAATCCCTTCGACGTCTGACACACTAGTGCCTCTGTCGAGGTAGTGCTCTCCCTTACAGCACTATGCAAATAATGTCAGCCCTGTCTTATGAACAGGCTATTTAGTTGATATTTGGAGAGTACAGTATATGATCCAGTTAGTCACCACTGCTTTGCATCATGTCACAGGAGACTGCGCCTAGATCCTGTCATCAATATGTACATATATTTCTGAATCAAAATACACGATCTGAATGGCCTACAGGTATATTCAGGCAAATCAGTCACTAGCCCAGAGATTTAAATGTGCAATAACACACCCCCCCCAAAAAAAAAAACCAAAATTAAGCGTGTGTGAATATATTTAGTCTGCAGAAGAGTTTATTCCATTCCATTCATTAGAAGCATGGCAGAAAACCGAGAACCAGAGGAAAAAAGGGATTAATCAAAGCATGTGTAAAAATTGGTCAAGGTGGGATGATCGCTTGAGCCCAAAACTTCAAGACCAGCGTGGCATCAGACTGAGACAATGTTCTAAAAAATAAATTAATTGCTCAGGTGTGGTGTTCGCACCTGTAGTACCATCCATTTGAGAGGCTTCAGTATGAGGATTATTTGAGCCCAAGAGATCCAGACTCCAGATTCAGTGAGGTATTGTCATCTCACTGCCCTCCAGCCTGGGAGAGAAAGCCACACCCTGTCTGAGAAAAAAAAAATAAAAAGCATTGATAAATAAAGATACAAAAATAGTTTCTTTCTTTCACAACAGGCTTTTCTGAGACACATCCTCCATTAAGGGTGACATAGGACTGTGTGTTCCCAACGTTTCTCAATGCATGAGATGGTTTGATCAAAGAAAAACAAATGCTCTCTTAAGTGCCTTTCTTTCCACTACAAACACCCTGTGGATGCGGGTATGAGAACAGCAGGAAAACCGTGGTCGACCCTGCAAGTGGCAGACTCAGTGGGCATGCCCCTTGCTAAGCAAGTTCCTGCTGCCCATGTGACTTGCTGTCTGTCTTCTATCCCTGCAGAGCTGTGGAAGGAAACGTCATGACTTCTTTCTTGCCAACTATGACACAGCTGGTAGGTCAGCAGAGCAGTCCTCCCAGAAGTTGAAGTGTCAGTGAGTGGGAGGGAAAGCAGAAGGGCTTCCCGTAGGTTGGACCACTCGGTCCATGGCCTCATATAGATCCTCATCCTTCTACTAAAAGGCAGCCACATCACCATGGCCTTGCTGTTGTGGGGTCCTGGGCAGGGGAGGAAGTAAGGGCATAGTGGGGAGGAGGGTCAGATGAACAGGGAATGAGTTGAAGGGTGACATTATTTGCAGTATTTCAGTCTCAGAGGCATAAAAAATACCACACAGAGAGGATGGATTCCAAAGTCCTTAGTGGGGACCTTGGAAGGAGCAGAGGACAGGGCATGGGGAGACAAGGAAGCGCAGTGCGGCTCTTGAGGCAAGAGGGGACCTCACTGCGCATGCTCCTTTGGTGCCTCCTTAGTGCGCATATTCATTGGGCGTCTTCCCATTGGCCCTTCGCGTATGGTGAACGCCGGGGAGCTGTGATCCTGCAGCTCGGGTCCCTGAGGTCTGGATTCTTTCTCCCCTGCTGAGACGCAGCCAGTAGGTCCACAGGTCGCTCCAGCTGGGAGTTGAAGCGTGAGTGAGAGTGCGGAGGAGCCAGCGGGCTTCCAGAGGGTCGGGGCGCATGATTGGTGACTCCGAGTGAGAAGGGGCTTGATGTCGTCGTCCTTCTCGTGCGGCCCCGCAGCTATGGGCCTTCTTGTCTTGTCGGGGTCAGAACGAAGGAAGAAGCAGGGCCTCGGAATGGGACGGGGGTTAGGTGAAGCTGGGGCGATGCTGGGGTGCTGTTGGTGGTATTCCAGTCCCAGAAACGCCTGAAACTTCCAACAGAGGACAAATTCCAGACTCCTCAAGGGGCATCAGGCCTGGAATGTCGTGGGCGGTAAGGAAGGGGCCTGGAAATTGGGAACACTCCGGACTGGTGACCGCCACCCCGAGGTTTGTATAATGAACCGCAGAGGTGCCCGCCCGGTGAGGACTGCCCAGTGCTATGTGGCAACTTCTCAGCTCCATCTTGGAAGTTCGAATGGGTGGGAGGGGCTATGCATTCCAACAAAACTCGATGTTGGGGGGAAATGGCCCTAGCAAAGGGTGTGTGACAAAAGCCATGGGCACTTTAATTTTAATTCTCAAGCTGTATTTTCCTAAATGTCTCGCGATGGAGAGTCCAATTGTGAAACCAAACCTCATTGGAAATACCGTGCGTCTCTTGCCGTAAGCCCTAAGGCATTGCTCAGCTAGCTTGACGAACATAAGTGGCTGTGCAAGTATTCGATTCAGAAGGCATACGCACTTATACATGCCCTCTGACTTACCTTTCAATGTCTTACCAAATTTTTAAAAATTGCAAGTTAGCATTTGGCCATGGAAGTGCTCAAATGTAGTATCCACTGACATGCATTTTTCCAGTCACGGTATTCTGGGTTTTGGTTTGGTTTGGTTTGGTTTTTTTGAGATGGAGTTTTGCTCTTGTTGCCCAGGCTGGAGTGCAATGGCGTGATCTCGGCTGGCTGCAGCATTCGCCCCCGGGTTCAAGCGGTTCTCCTGCCTCAACCTCCCGACTAGCTGGGATTAAGGCACTCACCACCACACCCGGCTAAGTTTTTGTATTTTTAGTAGAGACGGGGTTTCACCATTTTGGCCAAGCTGGCCTCGAACTCCTGACCTCAGGTGATCCATCCTCCTCAGCCTCCGCAAAGTGCACACTGTTCTGTTTGCAGACTGAAATATGAGTTGGCGAGGAAGAAGATATAGACCAAGACGATGTTTACGACTTGCTCAGCTGGTTGGGCCTATGCCTGTGAGTAACTTAACGTTCGATTTTTTCCAATAGCAGAAGTTTTTTTGTGTGGTAGTTATTGTTGAACTAGTATAGATACACTGATAAAGGTCTCCCATGTTGATAAAAAATGATCATGGCATCTCATGAAGGAAAGAGTAACCCAAGAGGACTACACACTGTTTTCGCCTGGATGTGTGAACTTGTGTTCCTCGATTTGACTGGTGATTTCCTCCTCATGCTTATTCATAGCACGTTACACCCATTCAACCCCACATGAATTAAAATGGCTTCCAACGCCATTGAGGGTAACGGTCTCAGAGTAACCTCTCTATGGGAAGAGTAACTTAATGAAGAATAAGTATGTGGAATAGTTTTGGGATAGTGTTGGAGCATGTCTTTAAACATGCATATGATCAGAAGTATCTGTGTAATCTGTATATTCATGTTATTGACATGCATTGATAAGAAGAATTTTTTATCTGCACATGCACACACCATGTCCCCGCCCTTGTCCCAGGAGCCCAGTGTGCCAGAGCCTCAACAAGAAGGACCACCAACTGAAAGTCAGGATCATACACCTGGTCAGAAGAGAGAAGAAGATCAGGGTGCAGCTGAGATTCAAGGTGCTGGGAAGGGAAAGAAAGAATGTCTATGGGGGGAGGAGGCCTGTGTGTGCATGACGCCTTATGCCATGACCAGTAACAGGACGAAAGAAAACAACAGGAAAGGATCTCAAACATTTGCTGAGAGTTTTGCAAGAGGCTGGAAATGTGATGGGTATAGTTTGCAGCTTCCTGCAGTCCCTGGATATGATGAATCTTCTCTTTTTCTTTGAGATGCATTTTGTATGCTTGAAAATATAGTCGTTCCTAAATCAGATGAAACCATGTAATTGGTTGTATAAAAATGTACATTATTTCACCAGTTTAACTTGATATTCTTAGGACGTTGCAGTGAGATCTTCTCAGCCATGGTGTTCACAGTGTTGTAAGCACCCTTTGATAGCATGTGGAGTGCCAAGTCACCCTACCATATAACACCCCAAATAAAGCCCATTTGCAAAGGAATCTTAGCCTCATTCTATAAATAAGAAAACGGAGGCCGGGCGTGGTGCCTCACCCCTGTTATCCCTGCACTTTGGGAGGCCGAGGTGGGCGGATCACTTGAGGTCAGGAGTTCGAGACCACCGTGGCCAATATGGTGAAATCCTGTCTCTACTAAAAATATACGAACTCGTTGGGCGTGGTGGCACACACCTGTAATCTCAGCTACTAAGTAGGCTGAGGCAGGAGAATTTCTTGAGCCCGTGCGGCAGAGGTTGCAGTGAGCCGAGATCACACCACTGCACTCCAGCCTTGGTGACACAGCGAGACTCCGTCTCAAAACATAAAAATAAATAAATAAGAAAACTGAGGCTCAGAGATAGAGACTTACCAAGAAAACTTGACGCATGGAGAAGGAATTCGTATTTTGTTCCAAGGTATGCATTCTTCCTACCATCTATTTTAGAAAATGTGAATGATATTTTGCTCAAAAATGCTTAATACTCAAATGTGTCTGTACTATAAGGTGCTTCGATATTGGCTCAGGACAAAACGCAGTTCAGTGAAGCAGGATAGCAACTCCAGAAAAGAGGTCAATGAATGACAGCCACTGTTTCCTTTGATGTATATTTTTGACAGTATGTTTGGTAAAAGGTGGATAACTCAGGATGTTGGCGTACAGGTAACTTTATTAGTAGGATATGGAGGGGGCTTTGAAAAGTTGTTTCAATATTTTTATAATTAGAAAGCTCCAAGTACGATAAGATTATCATGAAACAGAAATTGTTTTCTCAACGGATAGCATTTTCAAACTAATCAGAGACAGAATTTGGGCCATGGATTATTTTAGCAATTCCCTGTTAAGGGGTTTCCAGAATATGACTGTCAACAATGCTCATTAATTTCTTTGCACTTCAGTTCCCGTACTCCCACTGGAAGACAGTGGTTTTGCTGTTATATTTCGTACTTTTTTTCTTAATGACATTCATGTATGGAAAGTCACATATAGGGGCCTTTGGATCTAAGAATTACTTTAATAAAGTTTAACCCCAACATTTTCAAGATACCTCAACAGGGGATGAGTGTCAGGACCATAAGATTTGTCATAGGCTCACCGATGCATTGATCTAATCCTTCAGAAGATTACATTGAAGTTACGATTAAAATGCTATCCGTGAGGCTGTCCTGTTTTCCTAGGTAGCTGTGTGTTTATAATACACAATGGTAAAGTATGGGCAAGGTAGGTGTGCTGAGACTTATCCTCAGATTGTCATTTAAGATAAGGTATCATAATACAGGAAAACAAACGTGGGACATCTTTGCTTCACATTTATTACCACAGTAGCTTATAGGCTTTTATTGCATAACACCAAGGAAAAGAAAAGGATCAGTTCCTTATTTATCACTCCTGTTTGGCTGCTCCAGTCGACATCCTTTTGGTATTTTTCAGTGCCCGACCTGGAAGTTGATCTCCAGAAGCTGTCTCAGTCAAAGACTGGGGATGAATGCGGAGATGGTTCTGATGTCCAGGGGAAGATTCTGCCAAAATCAGAGCAATTTAAAATGCCAGAAGGAGGTATGTTACCCATTAAGATTCAAAATTATGTGCTGTCTGTATTCCATAATATTATACTTTTGATAATAAAGGAGAGAATCTTACTGCCCCTTTAAAAATAGAGTTCAAATGCAGACTTTCTTTGGAAGGTAATTCAGACCCTAGAAGCCTGACTGCAAAACGAAACACTATCAGATACAGACACAAATTGGGTCAAAGCCATATTGAATCATCAAATAGCAAAGCATTTTCTTACTTCTGAGTATAACCAACAGCTAACAATTTTCAGATTATTTTGTGATTTCTGCTTTTCACAAAAACATAATGCACTTGTAATACCACTTTGTATGAAATATGCTGATCCCTGAAGGAGATTCTCGTACCAGCTCTTAACATAATTTGTGAGCTTCTGGACAAATCACATAAATCCTACACCCATTTTTGCTTTTATTGAAAGTAGTGAATGCACATCAGATAGATTAAAATCCACTTCAGTGCTGATTTCTACATGCTCTGGTTCTGTTGGAGAGAACGCAAAGATACTCGGATTTTCATGATTTGTTTATCATAACGATCAGCTGCAGTCCAATTGTAATATCTGAGTTGAGATTTCATTGCTTCTAAGAAAACAAGCGGGCACTCTGCTTGATGTTTGTTTTTCCGTAAGGAGACCTTCATGAGTGTTCTTGAATTTTGTCAAATCCTGAATTCTCTCAGACTCTTAAACAATGATTGTTTTATTTTTATTTTTGCTTTTGTTTTGTTTTGTTTTGTTTTGTTTCGGATGAGGTCTCGCTCGGCCGCCCCAGGATGGAGTGCAGTGGTCCGATCTTGGTTCCCTGTGACCCCCGCCTCCCGGGTTTAAGCGATTCTCATGCCTCAGCCTCACGTGTATTTGGGATTACAGGTGCATGCCACCATGCCCAACTAATTTTTGTATTTTTGGTAGAAACAGGGGCTCACCATGTTGGCCAATCTGGGCTCGAACTCCTGACCTCAAGTGATCCACCTGCCTCGGCCTCCCAAAATGCTGGGATTACAGGTGTGAACCACCTCCCTCGCTGGACCCAATGATTTGTGTTTTAAAGTCTTCCCACAGTGAAGCCTTGAATGACTGAATAATAGAATGGAAAGAGACAGTCAAGGTTTTGTGGCCCATGAAGTAGGGAGCCTGCATGTAGGTCAGTGATGCTCAAAGTGGTTGAAAGATACCTGTGCTAAGCATGCTCCCTGCCCTCCTGTCAATCTTCATGAGCTACTGTGTGTAATTAGATTGAAGACACATACGGTAACCTCTAACCATATCAGAGGTTATATATTACAGGTTTCTGCCTTGAGTCATCAGATGATATGATTTAAAGTTCAAAGACTATAACGTACTAAGTCCTGAGTAGTCCACATAAGTATCTTTTACACGTTTTTCAAATTGCTGACTTAATTAGAAGAACTTCTGAATTTAAAGGATGCACTGCATTTTTAGGGGAGAAATTATCTAAATGATTTACTCCACACTGGTGAACCACTCCATTAGACTATTTACATTAATAGATAGTGTGTAGACGATTTCCAGGAGCCTACTGAACAAGCCTCAGTTGTATTCTTAGGACAGTCATACCGTTAAATGCATATCTTATTAAAATAGATAACAAATTACATGATACAAGAAAATAATACTGAGACATAAAAAATAATAAAAGAGTCACAGAATAAACTTAAGGGAAAGGGAAACAGGCAGTACATGAAAGGTATGAATCATTAACAAAGGGAAAACTAATCGAAAAGTAATACATTTAATAGATCGTTCTTTTGAGAAATAGCTAGGAAGACAGCATCCAGCAGATGAAACAATCTTGAAGAAAATGGAAAAAGCACAACACGGAATATGAACAAGACCCAGATATTGAATGTAGGGCATAATTGAAAGTGAATACATTCTTAAACACAATATTTTCAGAGTATGGATGAAATGGTTGACACACTAGGGATGCCTACATTATTTAATATATCCCTGCATAACTAAATATCTGAACACCACAAAGACTGTGCATGAACTTGTGAAATTTGCTAGTCGTCCCTCAAAAACAGTTACTTTTAGAAGCAAATATTTAGCTTTTCCAGATGTCTTACTCTCTGTTTTCATTTCCCTCTCCATTTTTTTTTCCCCACACTGGTTATGATGTATAACTCTTTCACATTTTAATATCAATCATGATCGTGATACGTTAAAACTTATATGACCATTTAATTAATTATACAAATGGGAATACTTTCCAGTGGAAAAAGTGTCATTATTCATATTGACATGAGGACTATAGGTGAAAACTGGATGCAAATGGTTAGTGTATGTTAAAAAAGAACAAAGAAGGGTAAACTAGCTCAAAGCAATATCATAGCACTTCTTCACAATAGAGAAAAAACAAATGCAATACTGGCCTTTCTATTCATTTCACTTATGTATTTCCTAATGTGACATTAACAGTTTCCTCAAAAGATAGCTTTCAGACTGTCTGCAGGAACCTATTGGACATTCAGACCATACTGTCAAGCCAAAACATTAAATTATGCATTTTTTCTGGAGGAATTTTTTCAGAAATTCCTTCTGTTTCTTAGGTTTTTTTGTGTTCTGGTTGTATTTTCAGTAAAACTCTACACATTGTTTGTCATCTACTTTAAGCCCCTTCTAATAGGTTCACTTGATTTAATGTGATCTGTCCTCAGACTGTCTTTTGGTTTCCTTCTAGCACAAAAAGCAGGGTGTGTTTTAAAAATGTTGCTAATGTGTATGTTTAGAAGTGTATCCTCAAAGTCTCTACAGAGGTCTAGTTGAATCTTAGCCACAGGGAGACTCTTCGGATTCTGGTTTTAGTCCATTGTATAAAACTAAACCTTTGGTGTCCTTTGCATACCTTTAATTTCATCTGAATAGAGTTCTTCTGGTAATGTTCCCTCCTGTTATGTTTCTGTCGCAGGGGAAGGGAAACCACAGCTTTAAACAAAGACAACCGAAAGAATGCAAACTGGATTTATCCGAGATATTTGACTTTTAAAAATCTCAATAAAGTTTTCCAGTTTTCTCCAAAGAAGTATCACACACCTGTTGTTCATTTATTCTCACATATTAGACAGTATTGAACATTTTGGCCGGGTGCAGTGGCTCATTCCTGTAATCCAAGCACATTGGGATGCTGAGGCAGGAAGATTGCTTGAGCTTGGGAGATTAAGACATGCTTGGGCAACATGGCAAAACCCCCTCTCTACAAAAATAGATGAATGAATGCATGAATATATGCACATATGTATGTAGGTGTAGTCCCAGCTACTCTGGAGGCTGAGGTGGGAGGATCCCTTGAGCCAAGGAGGTCGAGGATGTAGGTAGTCATGTTCACGCCACTGCAGCTCCAGCCTGGGTGAATGCGACTCTGTCTGAATAAAATATAGTATCATTTTTGCAACTCTGCATTCTGATTGAGCTGGTATGCACATGTGTGATATTGTGAATATATATATTTGGTCCTGGACCCTGCTTACCGTCATACAACTCCTACAGGTTTTGGAATCTCCACATAGTGATGTCTTTTTGTATGCTAGTGAGTTGACCATTTGCTGGCAGCTCCTAGGTAGCTCTAGGATGGCGGATTAGAGGGTTGGGACTTTTCAGCCACATCCCCAACGTTCAGGACAGGGAGAGGGGCTGAAGGTTAAGTTGATTACCAATGGCGGGCCAACAGTTTAGTCAGTCATGCCTATAGGATGAAAACCTCCATCAAAACCCAAAAGGACAGGGTTCAGAGAGCTTCTTGCCTAGCTGAACACATGGAGAGTGGCATGCCCGTAGAGGCCACGGAAGCCCCCTGCCTCTTCCTTCTATTCCTTCCCCTACGTATCTCTTTATCTGCATCCTTTGTTAGGATATCCTATTTTCCACAAAATATGTGAGAATTCCCCGGGCTATCGAGCTGGATGAAAGAACTAGGGCCTAGGTGGAAGAAAGGGGAAAGCAACTAGGGCAACTTGCTGAAGCAAAATTACTTGGATCCTACCTACACTGTCTCCTTACACGCGATGGCATGACATAGCCATGGGATTCCATCCTGCCTCTTACACACTGGCCTTGAGATGGTGGGCAAGATACTTACATCCTGTGGGACAGTTTCCCCATTTTTAAAGTGAAATTAGAATATTTACACTAAATGCTTGCTATGAAGAATAAATGAAATAACAAGATGCAGGCATTACATTGCAGATAAATTTACTGGTTATCTTTCCTTAATCCCTTTAAAATTTCAAATATTTTCATTCCATTTTTCTTTACAACTACATCTCTAGTATGTGATAACTGCTTTGGAATTTCAAGTAGGAATATCAGTCTACCTTTTTAAATGCATTTGACTTCAGAAGGTGATTTCATGTAAATATGTAAGTTAAATAGCGGTGTAGCTGGCATCAGACACGGCATTGATTCTGAAGCCGATTTGTAAATAACCGAGGTGTGACAAGGCCAACCCTATGTCAGTACTATGTGCTGAAAACTTGTTTGATGTGTGTGATGCCATGAAGAATAAGTCTATTCCAGTCAGTCAGCACCACACAACTCAATATCACAGTGTGTCAAGAGCTCAGGCAGTCCCTAAGCAGCCCTATGGTGGCTAACGGGGCCACAAGGATCACCGGTGCAGTTGTTATTTTGGCTTGTCATATATTCATCAATTTGGCGGGTAAGAAGACAATGAGCCCAAATGAATCAAAGTGGTTGATTTACTTGCAGACTCAGCAAAAGCAAGATTAGCATTGTGTCAGCACTGTGTCCCTAGTCCCAGGGTACCACACTGAATTGGAGAAACTCAGTGACAGTACAGATGGTGGGTCTCTCTGCCTGCGAGGAGCCCACAGTCATACCCTAAGGCCAATTTTGAAACCACACTGAATCCTGAACCCAAGATCACACCTTACCGAGCTGCGACTATGGGACAGCAGGGGTGACCCAGCTCCCGAACATCTCGCACAGAACACCTTAGGGATGTCATCCATGCTTGTGAAGAGGAGGAACCTGTGTCAGTGACTACCCTGAACTGACTTGCCTGCTGACAGTTCCCCTAAACCAAAGATGCAAACCAGTTGTTTAGACTGAACGGGGAACCCTAGAGGGAAAGGTTTCTTTGTGGGATGGCACAATGGAGGCCTTGGCCAGCTTCTGCCTGATGACTGTATGTCCTGCTGGGGGTGTCCTAACAAGGGTAAAGTCTTGTAGTCCAGGGGTATCACCTGTGCCCTCTGGGATTGTTCTTACCTGTGTGCCCTGAATATCCCATCACTGCCTCATCCCTGGAAGGCGTGCACATCAACTTCAGCTTCCTGGCCATAGTTGTGCTGAGCCTGAAATGCTGGCTTGAGTTGGATAAAAATGGTTAATACAGAATGTTAGTTAGGAAGTCACCTGCCTTTGTCAGATAGACCTTCAGCATTAATAGGATTCGTATAAGATGAATGTGATGGGAAATTTGATGTGTCAACTTTGCTACGCCACGATGCATGAGAAATGTTCACTTTGACCAGGGTAGATGTCTCCGTGAAGGGTTTTCTTTACGTGAAAACTAGCATTTAAATCAGCAGACTTTTGGTAAACCTAATTGCCCTCCCCAATGTGGGTGGGCCTCATCCAGTTCCTTGAAGGCCTTCAGAGAAGAAGACTGGGGTCCTCCACAAGATGAAGAAATTCTGCCTCCACACTGCCCTTGGATTTGACCTTTCATATCACCTCTTCCCCCGGTCTCCAGCCTGACATCCTGCTCCGTGAGATTTGGACTTGCCAGTCGCAACACTTCCATGGGCTAGGTCTTCAAACTCAGTCTCTCTCTCTCTCTTTCTCTCTCCACCCACCCACACACACGTGTGCACACATACACACACACACACACACACACACACACACACACACACCCCGAGGAACCCTAACCAATAGGCTTCTTACGTCTGGGACCCTTAGGGCGTAACTGAGATCAGTACTGCAGGTTGGTGTCACTCTGCTGCAGGGCTCCTCAAGCAGAGGCCAGTGGCGTTCCCCTCCCACCCTCTGCAGACGGACATCCACGTGGCTCATCACTGTGACTCAGGGTTTGGTCATCCAACCATGTAGCGATCACTACAATTTCACAAGTGTTCCCCACCCTCCTTCTGCCTGTGAGGTCCTCTGAGATATTTTTAAGTCAAATGTCTAATACAAAACCAGTTTGCGTTCTTTCAGCTTGTATTCATTTAAACCTGTGGTTGCCTTTCACCTATAATAGAAGAACAACATTACTAGCAGAACTGTATTTAGGTGACATTAAAGGTATGCAAAGGACACCAGTGTTTTAGTTGCATACAGTAGACTAAAACCAGAAGCCTATGAGTCACCCATTGGCTTACATGCAGTTAGGCCTCTGTAGAGATTTTGAAGATAGATTTCCAAGCATATACATTATCAATACTTTTTAAACACATCCTGGTTTCCAGTGCTACAAGGAAACCAAAAGAGAGTTAGAGGTCAGAACACTTTAAATCAGGTGAACCTATTAAAAAGTGGTCAAAGCAGAAAGCAAACATTGTGTATACTTTTACTAAAAATATAACCAACACAAAAAATGTTAAGAAACAAAAGGAATTTACAAAAAAAATGTTTAATTTCATGCTTTGGCTTGAAACTACATTCTGGATGTCCAATAGACTCCTGGAAATAGTCTGAAAACTATCTTTTAGGAAAACATTTTATTGCATTTGTTTTTTATCTGTTGTATCTGAAGTGCAAAAATGTTTCTTTGGGCTAGTTTACCCTTCTGTGGTTTTTAAGGTACCATAATCATTTTCCCCCAATTTTCACCTAAAGTGCTAATGTCAATATGAATACTGCCTTTTTACACTTGAAAGTATTCCCGTTTGTGTAATTAATTATATGGTCACACTAGTTTTAAGCTATCACTATCATTTCTGATGTCAAAACGTGAAACCGTTATATATCATGAACAGTGTTGCCAAAAAACAAAACAAAAAAAACAAGAAACGGAAATAGAGGGATAGGAAAGGAAAATGGAAAGGACAGTAAGACATCTGGAGAAGCCAACTATTTGTTTCTAAAAGTAAGTGTTTTTGAGGGACAACTAGCAAATTTCAGAAGTTCTTCCAGTCTTTGTGATGTTTAGGTATTCACATATTATCGGGATATATTAAATAATGTATATATGCCTAGCCTATCAACCATTTCTTCCATACACTGAAAATATTAGAGTATTCACTTTCAATTATAACCTATATTCAATATCTGTGTCTTGTTCATGTTCCATGTTGACCTTTTTCCATTTTCTCCGAGTGTGTAAACTACTGGATACTCTATTCATAACTATTTCCCCCCCAAAAGATCTTTTAAATTTGTTACTTTTGGATTCGTTTTCCTTTTACTAATGATTCGTATCTGTCTTTTATTCATTTCCTCTTTCCTTTTCCCTTAGGTTTATTCTATTGTTCTTTTATTATTTTTTATTCTTCTCCTTTATCACGTAATGTGTTTTCTATGCATTTAAGACTATAATCTTCCTAAGAATACAGTTGAGGCTTCTTCAGTAGGCTCCTGGAAACAGACTGAAAAAGGTCTTTTTGTTTGTTTGTTTGTTTTTGTTTTGTTTTTTGAGACAGAGTCTCGCTCTGTCGCCCAGGCTGGAGTGCAGTGGCCTGGTCTCGGCTCACTGCAAGCTCCGCCTCCCGGGTTCACGCCATTCTCCTGTCTCAGCCTCCCGAGTAGCTGGGACTACAGGCGCCCGCCACCACGTCCGGCTAATTTTTTGTATTTTGTTTAGTAGAGATGGGATTTCACCGTGTTAGCCAGGATGGTCTCAATCTCCTGACCTCGTGATCTGCCCGCCTCGGCCTTCCAAAGAAAACTGTCTTTGAATGTAAATGGTCTAATGGAATGGTTCAGCAGTGTAGAGTACAAACATTTAGGTAATTTCTTCCCTAAATATGGAGTGCTCCCTTGAAATTCAGAAGCTCTTCTAATTAACAGTCAGCAATTTGGAAAATACGTGTAAAAGATACTTATGTCGACTACTCACGAATGAGGAC